CACAGTCAGCGTCACTAACCATTATACCGGATGGTCAGCATCTACATATTTTAACCATATTAACTGAATGTTAATCTAATGATAATTAACATATTCAAAATTTAGATCACATTTGATTTTTATATGTATAAAAGCAGTTATAGGCAGGCATATATTGATTTGTTGCTATTTTTATAGGATGAACGAGTTTTGTTTCATTATAATGGTCACGGTGTTCCCAAGCCCACAGCTAATGGAGAAATATGGGTGTTTAATAAAGTAAATTATGTTTCGCTTTATTTTTATTTAATTTATGTGTCAAAAATATAATTTTTTCTGAATTCATTTTTTTAATCATTTCTTTTTATGTTATAATAAATTTGTATTGTATGTCCTAAATCCTTATTGTTTTTTCTATCTTTGATTAAGAAATGAAAAATATGCATTGCTAATTTGGGTACACATTTTTGTTCTGTTATTAACAAACGTTGTTTCTTATGCCACCTGATCTCAACTGTGTCAGATCCAGGCCCACGAGATTCATCATGGCAAGGGGCTAAATGTACGTCTGTCGTTAACCATAGCCTTGAGCACCATTCAGATGACAGTGTGATTTTTAGCTCGGCTCCACCCCAATTTTGAATGAGAACACCCTGGGGGAGGATCAGGGCCTCCCACCTCTCTTCCCCTTCCACCAACCTCATAAGAGGACTTGGCGGCTGTTTAGAGAACCCCCATGCTGTAAAGGCACTACACAAACATCCATGTCTTCTCCAGGATTCGAACTCAAGCCCTACGGCACAGGAGTCAGTGACGTTAACTACTATACTGTTGGACAACTATCCAGTGTTAACAAATACAAAAAAATAAACAAGTAAAGAGTTTAATCGTGAGACATAGAAAATATATCTATCCTAACCAATGGGGGGATCTATACTTAGCATCCATGTTTGGATGATAAAATTCCATGAATGTATCTTTTTTGTGATTTTTTGTTTATGTTTTATATGTTTATTTCTTATAATTTTAATGAATATTCTTACAAATAATTTTTTCTCATCAAAATTTTATACTTGCTGTAAAATTTCTTTAAATTTAAATCATTTGAAAATATTGATATCATGCTTTAAAAGTATTCATCTATGCCATGCTTTTATATTTTTCTACATTTATGATGAAGGTATTGTAGTTTTTGTTTTTTTTTTTAAAAATGGCAGCAAAGATTCGATGAAATAGTGTTTGACAAATTTTATTACGTAATGCCTTTTTCATTTATAAATGTAGTATAGAAATTTGTTTCAAATTATTTTTCTTTTAGACTTATACTCAGTATATACCACTTTCCATTTATGACCTTCAACAATGGATGGGCTCTCCATCAATTTATGTGTATGACTGCTCTTGTGCTGGGCTTATTGTAGAGTCTTTTAAAAATTTTGCAAATCAACATGAGAGAGAATTTGAAGTGAGTCATAACTTTTTATAATAATACTTAAGTTGTAGTAAAATTTATTTTTTATATTTATATTATGAACAAGGAAAACTGAGTATAAAAAGTGGGTATTGTAATAGGAATAAATCAATATTTTCTCCATATTTTACTTTTAATAGAAGCCTAAATTTCTAAATCATATAAAGATTTTTTATTTTAAAAATATTGCTCACTATATATAATGTGAATTGGAACTACTCTTTATTAGTGCTTAGAAACCTCACACTTGTAATCTGAAGTAATGTTCACTGGTGTCCTAAAAAAATTTAACATAAGAGAAAAAATTGTATGAGCTTCATCAGTAATTGGTGAATGCTCATTTTAATTCATTGAGCCAAGTAAAAGCATCACAGAGAAGGTAGAGCGTATTGACACATTTTCCTTTTTTTTCTCCTGAAGCGAGAAAACTTTGAGAAAACCTCACTCCATAAAGTTAAAGAAATCTTGACTTTTGCTTGCATTCAGGCCATAAGAGAAGATTCTTTGGTGTTGCATCTGAACTTGCTTTAGAGAGTTTTTAAAATGTGATTGTAGCGAAACCCTCTGTTCATTTTGCTTTCACTGTACTTGATGCATCTAGCCTTCATATTTCAACATTCAATTCTTCAAAACCAATTACAGTTGTAGCTTTGAATTGTCTTGTAATAGGATTGTTATGTAAGAATGGAAATAAGTTATCATTTTTGATACTTTTTACTGCAATTTCCAATAAACTTTTTATTAAATAAAATCATGATTAATGCTTGTGCACCAAAGTTACATTTATTTATCATTTTCTTTGTTTAAAAAAGTATTATATCACCATTTTTTATTTTGGTTTTCATATTTAAAAAATTTATTCTAAAACTTACTAGGAAGCTCTTAAAAAAAATGAAAGTTAGTGTATATATATATGTATAATATATATTTTTTAAAAGTATTATATAATCCTGATAAATCCTTTTAAACTTTTAATGGTTTGAAGAAAATTATTTTATACCGAAAATTTAATATTTTTAAATAGACATTATGTAACTTAAAAATATCTGTTTTAATTTTTTTAAATGTACTATTTACTTATTTAAAAAGTATTTTTGTTTGTTTTGAACATTGATTTTAGTTTGCTAGATAATGTAGACCTAATTATTATTAAAATTCTGGATTTTTCAGGTATAGAATTGGTTGTCTTTTGTTAATGTTTGAATTTCTGAAGTAAAAGCTTATTTTTTCTAGTAATGTTATTCCTATGCTTTTAAATCATCTATAAAAAAATGGCTACATGTGAATATCAACTGCCTTGGCTTTAAAGTCACTTATAAATTTCATTATGAATAAGTTTATAATTTATTCTCATTGAGGTCACTCTATGAATAGTATTAAAGAGAGAAAATAAAAAACATTAATATAGATTATGTGTTCTTTTTTGCCAACTAACAAGATGTAATAAATCTGACTTATCAGAAAAATACAATTACTTTTTGTAAGCTTTGCAAATAATTTTCAATGGAAAGTATCTTATGGAACATTATAGTATGGTAACATACATATTTGAAAATCCATTAATGCATATAGTGAAAAATTTCGTCATTTTTCAATACATCCAGGCTATTACAAATAGTTTAACCTGTTTACTTTGTGATCAAACATTAATTTTTGCTAAATTTAAACTCACTACTTTTCATAGAAATTTTAAAGAATGTCTTTGATTTCTTCATACACAAATGAAAATTTTAGTACATTGTGTATCACATTGGGCACACTAATATTTTTTTCATTTTTTAGCTTTTAGTAAATAACAGTAAAACACCTTATGATGGACCACCAATGCCTTCTTATAGTTCCTGTATACAACTTGCAGCTTGTGGAGCTACTCAGATTTTACCTATGAATCCAGACTTGCCTGCAGATTTGTTTACTTCATGTCTTACTACTCCTGTTATAATAGCATTAAAATGGTGTGCTATTTTATATTTTATTGATGAAAATATTAATTTTAAATCAATTTTGAAAAAAATTTGCAGCCAATTCAGATTACTTTAATTTTGACACCTTAAACACTGCCGGTATGTATATCTGTCTTGCTCAACTGATGCATCGAGTGCTTCAGACATGTATTCCATCCTTCCAAAGTAGGATTATTTTCTTTGTGGTACTATCAGTAAAACTATTTTGAAGGCTTTGGAATGCAATACAATTACCTTGATAGTGTTTATGAAGGATTTACTTATTACAGAGAAAAAATTTCTTATTTGTACTTTTTCTTTTCCATCCAATACACTGCATATGCTTGTCTATGTGGAAAGGGGTGGCACTGGGGAGCACATTGTGTTACTTTCAATCGGAGTTAAGGGGTTAAAGAAGCTAAATTGAATAGTAATTTTAATCAAGCATATAAAATGCAAACAAAATGTGCAAGATTTTTTATGCAATTATATTTAATATCTGCTTTTCATGCATGAAATATTTAATATTCTTTGATTAATAAAAAAAATTTTAAATGGTTTGGTACTGTAATTTTGGCTATATTTTAAATTTTAGTTATCTTTTTTGAAATAGCAGAATAATTAGTTTCATACTGTAGCCTATCTAAATAAAAATAAGTATTTTATTTTTTTGAAAATCATACATTTTCCCCACTAATATGTACTTGTAAATATCTTGTTAATTTATTTATAATTAAACTATATTTTTATCCATTAATTTTTTTCATAGGCTTTTGCCACTTTCTAACTTATAATAGCATTAAATTTGCATTTGTTGTAAGTGTAGATTCATATTCTAAGCAAATATCAATATTATAGCTATTAGAATTGTCACATAGGAGCTTAGATTTCCCTGTAAAAGAATTGAACATAAATATCAAGGAAATTTAAACTGGTTATTAAAACCAATGTTTTTGTTTGTCTTGAAATTAAAATAACAGTTGATTGACTTCTGATGTGTGTTTTTTCTTTCTCTGCATATTTCTTATTTCCTTTTTAAATCTTTTTTCATTATGTATTTAATTTGTAAATTTCTGTGAGTTAGAAACTGATGTAATCGCAAAAAAGATGGGGGGGGGGGAGTTAAAATAATAGAGCTTCTGTTATAATGGGGAATTGAATTAAAGTTTTTTTTTTCTAATTTTTTTTTGTAAATTGTATATTATGCAATGGAAAGGGGTGAAAGAAATAGAATGCATTAAATTTTTATAGTCCTGTATCATTACTTCAAAGTTAATAATATTTTAATTTTGTTTTGACAGAGTGTTATTTTCATTTGGACTTGATTTTTTGCATTTTAATTCCTTTTATTTATTCAATTCCTACTATTAGGTCAAACTCTCCCTATATATATATATATCTTGTTCAAATTTTCAATCATTAATAAAATACTTTTTATTCATTCACTCAAGTTCAAATACAATTTTTAAAATTTGTAGTTGATGACACTTGATATTAATACAGTTTTTAAAGTATTGATTCATTAACTAAATTTAATTAATGAATAAATAATAGCAAACAAAAATAATAGTTCAACAGCATATATAGAAAGGAAAATCGTTCATTGTGTCTCTGTAGTGCAATGATAGATAGCACGTTGGACTTCTAATCCAAAGGCCGTGGGTTCGAATCCCACTTGGGATGGCCTAATTTCTGAGAATGTGATTTCTTTTTACTATACTATTTTATTAGAATAATTAAATTTAATTAACAAATAGTAACAAATTTTAAAAAAATAGTCCAACACCATATATGGAAAAGAAAATGGAAAATTGCAAGGAAAATCACTTTCTGTTTTGTCACTATTGTGATTCTGTCATATGTACATACATATTTATATTAATTGTAACTATTTAATAAAAAATAACTAAAATATAGAAACTTTCTTTGTTTTGACCTAAGTAGGAATTGACTTAAAAAAATTTATATTTATTTGTTTATTTTTGAACTTTCATCTGTCTTTCTTTCCTGCTTTAATGTAAATTTCCAAAAATTAAGATGTGAAATATGAATAAAACTTCTAAAGAACTTAGAAAAGCTAATTTTAACTAGTGAATTATCATTGGAGATTGTTGTACTTTAAAAGGATGTGATAGTGAGCAAAATTGTACTATAAATAAAGTACAGAATGATTAGTCTTTTGAATCCCCCTTGTAATGAAATTTTCTTTTGGGGAAATATGATTAGTTAGAAAATAACGGTTTGAAAATTCTTTTAAAACTTATTAAAACAAATAATGTCTGCCTAACATGCATATAATGAATGACCTTTTGCTTTTTAAGTGATTTTTTTTAAAAAAATTGCTAAATTTTTTAATTGTATTTTGCACTTCTGTAGAAGAATTTTTTTTTAAAAAATTATTTTATTTAATCATTTTTTAATATTGTTATTACAGTGATGCTTGTATGAATTATTTCAGGTTTGTGCTTCAAAATAGCAAAAAGTTATTACCTGGCATTACTATGGATTTAATTGATCAGTAAGTATAACATCTTCACATTTGTTTTATTTATTTTTTTACAGGAAATTTAGAGCATTATGTATAGCAATGATTGTCAACCTGGTCCCTACCACTCACTAATGGGTAATCCAGCTTTCATGTCAGGTAGATGGCAGGGATTTTGTCTGGTATGAAAGCATTTTCCTTTTTAAAAGTGTTTTTGAAAACATTTCATTGACATTATTTAAAAACATTTTCATTAGTTTTTCATTAAATTCTTTAGTGTATATTTTCTAACAAGTCGTAAATTAAAACACAAAACAATCCACTCCTATTGCATACCTTTGATAATGATAAACTATCATGAATGATGAAGAAGTGAAGCAAACCTAGTGAGTGCTGTGATTAAAAGTCACATTACATATGTGAAATTTTCTCTCTAAACAGTGCTACCAACTCCTATCCTTAGACTGGCCATAGTTAGTAATTTATCACTGGTCTGTATGCAGCTAAATTTGTGTTTGTTCAACATGCAATTTATTTTGGGAGAATAAGTTCATCTCTTCAAACAAGGTATAGTAAAATATTGTGAACCCATGTTTCAGAAAAAGAAATGCACCCACCACTATTTGCCAAAGTGTCTGAAGATAGGTTTCATAAAATCGTTATCCTTCATCCATTGTGTTTGTGCCATCAGACATTTTTCAATGAGGCAATGAAATCATGTGGATTTGGAAATTATCCCAACAAAGTATCCAAATGATAAGGTCAAGCCTGTTGAATATTTTCAGGAAATACATAATAAATTTCAAAATTGTTCAACAATCATTGCATTATTTAAGAAATAATATGCAGTGAACAAAGATGGGTTGATTGCCACTTATTGTTTTTTTGCAAAATGTTGCTAGATCTATTATAGTGGAGAAGCTAATAATACCCTCTATAAAAGAATCTATCTCAACAGTATTGAATTAGGATATACATCATTTTAAAAATGTTTCTCCCAAGCAATAGCACAGTAAAGTAACTAATTGAAGAAATGGCAGCTAATGTGGGGAAAAAATCTTATAAGTATTCTCCAAAACTCTTTGTTTTCCATGTATTTGGTCAAATCTACTATGACAAATAATAATGCTTTATTCATGACTTATTTTTATTGTTTTGATGAAAACAATAAATTAGTAGAAATGCTATTCACAAAAAATCTTATTACAGGTAAAAGAGGATTAGCCATAATACTGTGAAATCATATTTTACAAAGAATATTTCTTTGAATAATATTGTTACATGTACTATTGATGGAGTACCATCAATAGTGCATCTAACAATTAATAGGTCACTATCATGAAATTGTTGCTTATTTGAAGGAAGAAATGCCAAATGTTTTATGTATCCATTATATGATGCTGTGCATACAATATCTTATGGGATAGCATCTAAGTACAAGTCTTTAATCATCACTAACTAAAATAATTGGAGTTGTAAACAAGATCCAGTCAAATGCAAAGAATGATGGAATGTTTTGACAGCTTTGCCAGAACAATAATGAAAATTTTACTACCCTATTTTTGGCACATAGACCGTCAAAGAGTAATTCTTTGGCTTATTTTGTAACATTTTTTAGTATAGTTTCTTCAATTTTTTGAACTTAGACCAATCTGTGACAGCAGTTAAAAGCAGCATAAAAGAGTGTCTTTTAGTGGTAGGTATTTTCAAGAAATCTAATTATATCAATTTACAGCTTCAAAGAGCAAATAAAAATCTTTAAGGGTGCCAAAATTTTGCCTTTTTTTTTTTGACAATTGGAATTACTTTTTTATCTATTGAAAGAGAATTTCATCAGTTTGTGCTGAATTATCATCTGTAAGAGATTTTTAACTCCAAAGAATATTGACAGATTCAGTAGCCACTTCAAGGAACTTAAATTGTATATGAAAAAAGAATTTGAAGATTTTGAAATTAAAGCTGTATGATTGGTTAAAAATCCTTTTACTGCAACTATTGAAGAAGCTGATACAACTTGCCAAGAACTGTTAGTAATTAAATATGATGAAGAAAACAAAATATAAATTCAATAATGATACATTTAGCTGCTATAAGTTATTTTATAAACATTTATTTTGCTAAACTTGGCAAAAGTCTGATATAAAGTGTTTGGGAAATAATTATTAATATATACTTTAATTTGCTATGACTCTAATTTTTTCTTTAATTTATGATTAAAGTTGCTTTTTTACTTTATAAGTCACTATTACTGTAGTTAGAAAGTTAGAAAATTTTACTTCTGACAAAGATGCAACAAGTGGGCAGTAGGTATAAAAAGGTTGACTAACCTCCTGATGTATAGTATCAAAATTAATTATTAACTTATATTTTTAAATAAAAAGACATACCTTTGTTAAATGTCTGGATTGCATTGTTAAATATGTTTATTCTTCATAAACGAATATTTTTTTAATGTTGTTTGAATGTATTTTGATTTAAGGATGTGTATTTAAAGAAAATATGCACAAAACTTTCACTTTTTTTCAGGATACCTGGTCAAGTATCTGATCGTAGGACTATGTTAGGTGAATTAAATTGGATTTTTACTGCAATAACAGATACTATTGCATGGAATGTTTTACCTAAAGAAACATTTCAACGCCTGTTTCGTCAAGATCTTTTAGTTGCTAGTCTTTTTCGTAATTTTTTACTTGCAGAAAGAATAATGAGATTTTATAATTGTACACCAGTATCAAGTCCATCACTACCTTCTACTTATCATCATCATATGTGGTAAGATCACTTTATTATAATCAATTATATCTTTAACTTTATTCAGGTAAGAATATATGTGTACTCTTAGGATTGATATTGCCATGTAAAATGTATACATATGTTTTAAATGTTTAAATATATAGATTACACTCCCCCCCCCCCTGAAAACGGGAAAAATAAGCTGTAAATCAGTTCCCAATTTTGGCTTAAATTCAGCAAGGGAATAGAACCATAAAATAATTTTAAGACATTTTTCACGAGTTTCTATAGAGCCAATGATGAAAAAAATTCATTTGTGTTATGAATATAAAGGTGATTATATAAAAAATCATAAATACTTTTTGATGAAAGAAAAGAAAAATGTTTTTCAGAAAAATGCTTCCCGAGTTGTTGGGAATGTAAGCATGGAAACCCAAGCAAAAAACTTAAGAGATTTTTCCAAAAAAAAAAGTTTTTACTTTCAAAAAAAATTATTCACTTTTTTACCATGTCTTTTTATTGCATTCTTGCGTTCATACTTGCATTTAACCTCTAAATTGTGTTTAAAAATGCTTTTGCTATTTCTTTTTCTCTCTTTCATTCTGATTTTTTGAAAATTCATCTAATCTGTGCTTATGATATAATATTTTTAATAAAATAATATGAATTATTTTAGGCAAGCTTGGGATCTTGCTGTGGATACTTGTTTGGCTCAGTTGCCTGCAATACTTAAAGATCCATCAATCACTTATTCTTATAGTCCTTTCTTCTCTGAGCAGCTTACAGCATTCCAGGTTTGGTTGTCCCTTAATCAAGATCAAACTAGTGTACCTGAGCAACTTCCAATTGTACTCCAGGTAAGGTTTTTATCATGTTTACAGATTTTTATTCAATATGTTAATATTATAGCTCTTCATTCTCTTCCATGAGTCTTCAAGTCATATATATATATAAATATGCTGTGTTTCAAGTCAAAATCAAACTTTCTTCAACATGGTCTTTATTCAGCTTTCTGTCTACAGGTCCTTTCTCTGAGAGAAACTGATGCCAAAGGGAAAATCTAAGTGGCTTACACTTATATCCAGATGTGTCTAAGTACTGTTCTTAGTTATGGGTTATACTTGAGAGTTAATGCTGATATATAGGGCTATAAAAATTAATGATCAGGGATAAAAGTACTGTTTAGGGCCATCTGTTCCTCAAAAGAAGCGGGTACTAAATTTAATACTTGAAGATGTAATGGAAAATAAAAATTAAAAGTTGTACAGGGAATTTAATTTTAGGTCTAATTTAATTATCCTTACATATATATATATATTTGTATAATAACTATCCTTCAATTTATTTATTTACTTTGTTCAAACAATACAATAGGGTCAAAAAGTTCCGGGAATAGGTCAATTACAAATTATTAAAAAATTGAACAATAATTTAACCTTATTTACCTTCATAATACTGCCCTTCT